CCCCCCCACACACACACAACCCCCCCATACACACACACACCCCCCATACACCTCCCCATACACACACACAACCCCCATACACCCCCCCCCACACACACAACCCCCCCATACACCCCACCCACACACACACCAACCACCCCATACACCCCCCACACACATCCCCCACACACACACACAACCCCCCCCATACACCCCCACACACACACACAACCCCCCATACACCCCCACACACACACACACACCCCCATACACCCCCCCACACACATCCCCACACACAACCCCCCCATACACCCCACACACACACCCCCACACACACCCCCACACACAACCCCCCCATACACCCCACCCACACACACCCCCACCCACACACACCCCCCACACACAACCCCCCCCATACACCCCCCACACACAACCCCCCCCATACACCCCCCCACACACATCCCCCACACACAACCCCCCCATACACCCCCCACACACACCCCCCACACACAACCCCCCATACACCCCCCACACACACCCCCCACACACACCCCCCCATACACCCCCACCCACACACACACCCCCACACACACCCATACACCCCACCCACACACACACACCCACACACAACCCCCCCCATACACCCCCCCACACAACCCCCCCCCATACACAAACCCCCACACACAAACCCCCACACAACCCCCCCCACACACAACTCCCCCCATACACCCCCCCCACACACACCCCACACAACCCCACCACACAACCCCCACCCACAAACCCCCCCCCTCCATCCACTACCATGCAATGTCCCCCCATCACACACACTCACATTCACATACCCCACCATCTAGGAGGCAGACAAGTCAAAGCAACTCTCTGCGCCCCCCACCCCCCACCCCATCAGCTACGAAATAAAGACAGGCAAGGGACCCCCCACCCATCAGAACATTGCAGTGCTCTCACCTTGATGTTGCCAAGGCCGTTCAGACAGGAGAGTAACTGCTCAGCTTTCAATGGCATGCGGTCACCGGTCAACAATCGACCTCATCTCCATGTTCTTTTTATAAAAAAATAAATCGATGTTCCTTATGAAAATAGTTCCTATTTTTAGATCAAGTGGTCAGCACCGACCACAAGGCAAAATGGTTAATATTTTCTCATTCATCCATCACCGCTCCTAAACTCTGCTGTCATCCAGTGGAATCCTGCAGCTCAGTGGTCAGAGAACACACTTTGCAAGCGAGAGACTTGGGTTTGATTCCCGGCAGGGCGAAACCTCGGACAAGTTTCCTTACTCTACACGCCCGATAATAGTCTATCAAGAAAAGAAAAACAATAATAAATTGGTCACTTCAATCCATGACTGTTTGTGGGACACTGCTGTGTGAAATTGGCTGCCGCATTTCGCCCACAAATATACGGTCAATTCACTTCACAGTCTATTCTGTGAAGCTCTTTGAGACGTCTAGAAGACGTGAAAAGCGCTATATCAAAATGCAAGGATTATTATCCAGACAGTCATATTCCATGGGTAATTTACTTTGATAATTTTGATTATGTTTATAGATATCACATTCAAATTTCATCATATGTATCCAGCTTCTTTTTCCAATGGGTTTGATCAAATCTACAGAATCAGGACGTCTCTGCCAGATGGGATATAAACTGCAAGAATATCAAAGAAAATATTTCTTTGGGCATCAAAGAAATCCAAATTTTAAAGTTCCTTTGAAAACTGATACTTCAAAATGTTTTTACAAGTAAATTTGTCAAGCTACGAGACAATTTTGAGTAGAAGCCAGTTGTTCTACAAAAGAGAAATATCAAACTCTGCAAAGTAAGTGGCCTCTTCGGATTCCCCAAGTTTCACCATATCACATACTAAATCTTTCACCTCTCGTGGAGATTCCCCATCGCGCAGTTGGTAAATTTACTGTATGGTGTGAAAGTCAGCTATATACTACTACTGCTAACGATTTATATCAGCTCCTGTCAAGACAACAACAACTTGCATTTATATAGCGCCCCTCACTCAGGGTAGCGACCCAGAGCGCTTGACAGTGGCGGAGCACGACTCTCAAAGACATCTCAAAGCACTTCATTCAGCTAACTGGGAGCCCAAGCTGAGCGTGGGAGAGGGCAATAGGTGACTGAAAACATGATCAAAAAAATATGTCTTAAGGTGGGCTTTGAAGTAGGGCCAGGTGGGGGAATCTGGGCTGGAGTTCCAGAGTGGGGCAGAATAGCTGAAAGCTCACCCACCAAAGTTGGGGCAGATCTAGTGGATGACATGAAGCAGGTAGGTGTTTTCTGAATATAGACCATAAGGTCCCAGGTTTGATAATAATATTCCTTGCATTTTGATATAGCGCTTTTCACGTCGGGAGGACGTCCCAAAGCGCTTCACAGAACACACTGTAAAGTGAATTGACTGTATATTTGTGGGCGAACACGGCAGCCAATTGCGCACAGCAATGTCCCACAAACAGTTGTAGATTGAAAATGACCATTTATTATTGTTTTGGGTTTTTGGAGGGATTATTATTAGCTGTGTAGAGTAAGGAAACTTGCCCAAGGTTTCCCCCATCTAAACAGGACTCCACAAATGAGTCCTGTTTAGATTTAGAGTTAAATAATCTGAGGCCCAAAATTCCACCTTAGCTTTTATATTAAAATTTTGACTTAAAAATTTTCATTGAGTAATACAGTGTGTGGGAATTTCTTGAAGCTAAACTGGATTTTTGTTAAATCACTCCGATCGATCGATCTTCACTGAGACATAAGGGCAATTAAACCCATTAAAATGAGAACAATTTGTCATTTATTACGAGAATAATTACAGAATTATTAAATTTTCAATAATCTAAAAAAAATCACTAACTCATGGAACACAACAAATATTGCAAATATTGTTCACAAAATACACAATCACTTTACAGTATATACTGTGATGCGCTTTGAGACATCTCAAAGTGATATGGTACTATATCAAATGCAAGGATTATTTATTAAAAACAAAAAATTGGTAAATTACTTTTTAATCAATTTTATTTGATAACTATGATTTCTAGATACAATGTAGTGTTTTTCTGGTATGGAGCGAGACTTGCTTTCTGTGATGCTTCTCACTTTCCTCGATTCTGATAAGTCTTTAAACATATTTTTTAAGTAGTCACTGAATAATCCACAAGATATCCCAAACAAATATAACTTCAAAACTGTATTTACATTAAAATTATTTCTGGATCAAAGACTTTTATTGTATTACACCATTTCTGTTTTTATTACAGAACACCAAAACATAGAACAGATTATAAAAAAAACTGACTACCTGGAATCCCAATTAACATCTACATGTAAACGACATTTTTCACATTTATTTCCACCTCTGTGAGACTAAAACCTGAAGCTGTTCCCAGCTCTTAAAGGCAATGTTCACTACGTCAAAACCGATGCAGCTGAAACCCTCACCTATGCCTTCGTCACTTCTCCACTGGACTATTCCAATGGCCTTCTCGCTGGTCTCCCCAGCTCCGCAATTCACAAAATACGCTCAATTAAAAACTCCACAGTCCAGATGCTCACCCGCACGAAACTCCATACTCCCATCACATCAGTCGTTGTCAGGCTCCACTGGTTCCCAATCACCGAACGGATCGATTTCAAGATCCTCCCACTCGTTTTCAAATCCCTTCAGCTCTTGCACCTCCTTAGCTATCCAACATGCTTACCGCCCACTTCACCACCCTCCACCCGGCTGGCTCCGGCCTCCTGTTTGTCTCTTGTGCCCTCTGTTCCACCATCGGTGACCGTGCCTTCAGCTACTATGCCCTGAAACTCTGGAACTTTCTCCCTCAATCCCTCTGCCTTGCCCCGTCCCTCCCCACCTTCAATTCCTGCTTAAAGGCCTTCCTTTTTGATCGTGCTTACAATCACCCCTCTCCCGCTGGGTCACTATCAGATACTACCACTGTCAAGCGTTCTGGGACACTACCCCGTGTGAAAAGCGCTATGTAGAAGCAGTTGTTATGGTTGTTAAAGTACCTATTAGACATGCAAAATTTTCCTCCGCTATATTTAATGTTGAATGGAATCTGGCAACTTAAAAAACCACTAGAGGGTGCATTCTCTCTGCTGTACAGGCGAGGGAGAAAAAGTTACTGTTGGTAAATAGTTGGAAATTGGCCAAAGAGAAATGAGAAGTACAAAATTCATATCAATAGTTCTATGATTACTAATGAAATCATTGAATGTATTGCATATTTGTTTTGCATGATGAGATCATTTCTTGAATCCTTAGTGAATGTGACCTCTGTCTACGAGATTTTCCTACCCATTTTAGGCTAATCCATTTTAATCTTTTGTTCCACCTCTCTCCACCCAAACAAGGGCGTCCTTTCTTGAGAGCAAATCATCTGTTTGGGTGATAATAAAACTGCTGATTTTCCCTAAATGTTGGCAACTTTGACAGTACTAAGAGCAGGGTCCATTCAGTGAAACTTGACAACAGCAATCACAGTCTTGTCTTTTTTTTGGTCAACAGGCACATGCAGAAACCCATCACCATGCTTAAGAGTACCCATACCAAACTGAGAGTCCATGCATCCCACTTATACATGAAAATTCCTAAGATATTTATTGGAATGGAAAGGGCACTCTCCCTAGAGGGACACATCCTGGTTACCTAATTCCGAAGAGTATTAGGCACAGGTTGGCATGAGCCTAGGCTTGGAGACCCCAGAGTGTGCATTGAGGTACTGCTGAAATTTAACCAGCTAAAACTGCATAGTTTGCCATTGTATGACAGTCTTCCTCTCGCCTGGGAAAAATCAATTTTTTCGAGTGCCTGCTGTTCTCGGAAATAACTACTTTGATAAATATGAGAATTAACAATGCATAGCTTAAGTATTCTGAGATGTAAACCTACATGAAGGGCATAATACAAATTGCTATATAAATGCAAGTTGCTGTTATCCAAAATACACAGTCAATTCACTTTACAGTATATTCCCTCAAGAAAAAAAGAATAAAATTGGTCACTTCAATCCACGACTTTTGTGGGACACTGCTGTGCGCAATTGGCTGCTGCGTTTCTCCCACAAATATACAGTCAATTCACCTTACAGTATATTCTGTGAAGCTCTATGAGATGTCTGGAAGACGTGAAAAGTGCTATTTCAAATGCAAGGATTATTATTATATTCTGTCTTAAAGACGTGATAAAGTCCTATATCAAAGGCAAGGATTATTATTATAAAAGACGAAAGACTAGCTCAGACAGGACTCCCAATGTAAAATACACTCTGTGATTTTTAATCTGTACTGAATTACTGTACTCAGTGTTCTATAATAATAATAATTCTTGCATTTGGCATAGCACCTTATCACGTCATAGAGACGTCTCAAAGCGCCTCACAGAATATATTGTAAAGTGAATTGACTATATTTTGTGGGTGAAAGTTATCGGAACTTTATGCAAAACTGATGTGGGTCAAACTTACCGTAAAACAAGGCTGTGCCTAATAAATTGTCCAGAAATATCTTCAAATCCAAGTTAAGTTGAGTTATGTGTTTTTGTTGTTAACTTATTTCAGTGTAGAGTGGAAATGGCAATGTTGTACATCCCTAGATGCCTGAACCGTGGCATAAGGAATCTACTATTGCAGCAGAGAAGTTTCTCAGCCCAACCTATTCATCAATTCAATGAAGATGACATAAAGGAAAAACTTCAGCAGTTCCCAGGTGGATCCATTGATTTGCAGAAGGAGGGTGAGATTGCTACTCTGATTATAAATCAGCCTGAACGAATAAATGCATTCACAGGTAAGATACTTTAACTTCCAGATAAAGAGAACAAACTGCATGAGCTAGGGAGTTCTTAAAACTGGAAACTATATTTACCTAATTCTTCCTAAAGAATCCTCTTAAGAAAGTAGTCTTTAGAATTTAATTATTTTGCATTTACTGCATTGAATGCTCCATAACATAATATAGCATTAAATGGAACAATGAGGAGTCACTGTAATCTTATGACAGGCAATGCATGGAGGTGGACAATTCAATTAAAGGTATATGGGCATCCAACTGAGTTTGTTAAATTCAATTCAACCTACAATTCAAACAGCCTACACCAACCACTCGGGCCTCTTGTCTAAAATCTATTCCCTCAAGGTCAGAGTCACAGATAAGAAGACGTTGGCAGGGACCAAGGAGGTTGGCTTCCGTCTTGTGTATGTTCAGTTGCAGAAAATTGGCATTCATCCAGGCCTTTATGTCTCACAAGCAGGCAGTCAGAAATTCGGTAGACTTTTGGTCATGGCTAGAGGAGGAAAAGTAGATTTGGGTGTCATCCACATACATGTGGAAATTGACCCATGATGATCTCCTGCTATGGTGGTGAATCTTCACTATTAAATTAGTGATTAAAGTAGTGATTCATTGCTAAACATACATTACCAATATATAAATGGATCCCGAGCCACTTGAGACCACTGGAGGAGGTGGTTTCAGGAATAGTTTGAATCATACCCTTGCAATCCAACGCTTTGGGACGTCCTCCCAACGTGAAAGGCATTCTATAAATGTAATTTTGTTGTTGTTGTTGTTGCAATCTAAATTTGGTAGGTGTGAATCGCAAAGGGCTCACTACATGCAAACTGAGCAAATCTTTTGTTAAAAATATTAATAACCCCAAAAGCACAATCAGCTCTTTAGTAACATTCCAAAAATCAGATTTTAATGATCTGAGACCAAGTTGGGATGCCAGAACCGTAAAATCAATTGTTTTGGCTGCAGTTTGATGTGTTATTGAGCAGAAAGTCCAAAATAGTATGTGTGCATACTGAAGATTGTGAGCAACGTTATGAATTATGCCAGAAAGCAATCGAGCACTGAATCCTAACCCAGTAATTCTTAATACTAAATTGTTTTGTTGTCATCTTTGTTTATACAGGAACCATGATCTTGGAACTCAGGGACAGGGTGGAGGAACTGGAAAGTTGGACTAATGGGAAAGGTCTTATTCTACGAGGTGCGGACAACACATTCTGTTCTGGGTCTGATCTAAATACGGTCAGAGCAATATCCAACCCGAAAGTAAGTAACAAGAGCTCTTAATGGTCTGTTAATTGTTAAATAATATTTGTCAAGCTCTACATCGGATCTTTGAGATTATAAATTAGGCTGAAACTCCAATGCTTGAAAGTACTACATTGCCGGAGGTGGTGTCTTTTGGATGAGGCATTAAACCGAGGTCCTGTGTGCCAGTTCAAATGGATATTAAAGATCCCATGGCACTGTTCAAAAAGACAAGGGAGTTTCTCCTTGCATTTGGCTAAGAATCTTCCAGATAATATTGGTTATTCACTTCATGTGAGATATTGTAATACACGTATTAGCTGCCTTGTTCGCCTACAAATACACAGTCACTATGCAAAACCTTTTGAGACATTTCAGTGACTTGATCAATGTCAAATGCAAGAAATATTACTATAAATTCCCTTTAATTCAACGGTTTATAGTTGTTCTAGAATAATAGGATGCAATCTCAAGATTGAAGCAGAATCAATTAAAAGTTAAGTGAGTATTAAGTATGAGTATCAAGGGATATGGAGAAGAGGGAAAAGGGATTTAAGAACTAAACAGCTGCCATTGGTTTAGAAAGTGATTCAGCAGTTCAGTCGCTGTATATCTGTTGCATTTTATCTAATTCTATACCATCTGTTTCATATCTTTTTTGTTCACAACATTTTATTCACATTTGACATTAATTTTTTTTGTAAATTTCCTCTTTGTTCTCTCGTTGGTGATTAATGCTGATATGCACTTCCACCATTCAACAGCCCTTCAAGTATTCCATATGGTTTACGTGGGAGACAAGCCCATTTCTGATCCTGTCCTAAGCCGATTTCCACACACAAGTGATTCCATCAGCGATCACTGGATTGTAATAAGGATTGTGATTATTGGCTCCTGTGTTTTCTCTCAACTACTCCATCCTCCATCCTAATAGGTGGGGTATGCTGAGACCAGTTTCAGTGCCTCCCACCCCTTCACCTCCACTGCCTTGTTGGCTAAAATCAGAGAATTCAGCATACATTAGGATTTGAACCATAAATCTTCCTCATCTGTCACTGATCCAAGTGATGATATATAGGTAGACATAAATTAATTACGGAAACGCAAGTACAATATAAAGTTCCTCACAACACATTTTGTATCAATTCAGGAATCTATATATAGAGGTGAATTCCAAAGCAGCAAAAAAAAACATCACCGTGCCCAAGAGTATACAAACCAGACTGAGTTCTACATATGTATGTCACCCACACTTAGAAATTTCCCCTTGTCTGGAGTGGAATGCATACTCTCTCCCTGCTTACCTCATTCTGAAGAATAGTTGGAGCTGGTTGCAAAAGCCAAGGCTTGGGGACCATGAATGTGATTTGGGGTACTGCTGGATTGAGAACACTCTTGGGCAAACCTCGCTGCTTGCCCAGTTAGGACCACCCTACCCTTTGGGCTTTGGCTTGCAGGGTTAACAGAAGCAGAATGGGACAAACCCACCCCCAGGGACTGGTCTGTCCCTCCAAATGCTGCCAAGGAGCCAGGTTGACTGATTCATCTTCAGAGGTTCCCTGAACAACAACAACAACAACAACAAGATTTCATTTATAGAGCGCCTTTCACATCGGGAGGACGTCCCAAGGTGCTGGACAGTTGGGTCGGGACCCGAGCAGGGGGGAAATGGTCAGGGTGAGGGGAGGGAAGGGAGGGAGCGAGGAGGGAGTAGAGAGTATTACAGTCTCACCTGGCTGAGGAACCAGACTGTCACAGAGGTTTGGCTCAATTCTGACATTGCGTTGCCAAGTATGTCATCTTAGAGCCAGTTCAGCCCCAAAGAGACCCTCTTACTTCCCCTCAAAGAAATTTGGCTAGTGGGTTCTGTTTAGATAATAATGGCATGAAGTGATTCCAAGATTATTATCCTGCTTGTAATTTTCTATGATTCAATGCAGCCATTCAGCATTAAATCACAAGGTTCAACACATGCAATACTTTAGGTTCAAGTTCATAATGAAAGTTGTTTGGCCAAGCCTGGATCAGGGTATTTATTAGTAGACTTGGCTCATTTAGTTCAGTAGAACTCTCGCCTTTAGATCAGAAACTTTTGGATTAAAGCTCATTTCAGAACTTGAGCCTACAATCTAGGCTGACACTTGAGTGCAGGACGGGGAGTGCGATGTATTGTCGGAGGTGCCATCTCTTGATTAAGACATTAAACAAAGGTCCCATCTGCCTAGTTTGAGGTGGACATTAAAGATTCTAATGTATATCATATTGAAAACAAAATAAAATTAAAACCTATGTCCAACCAATAATCCTAATTAAATGATAATTTATCACATAGCTGTTTGTGTTTCCTTACTGGTACAATCGGCTTCTATACTTACCAACAAAGGACATTCCACTTGATAGTTATTACCTGTGAACTTCTTTGAGACATCGTTTTGCGTTTCGTCCACAAAATACACAATCAATCCACATTACAGTATATTCTATGAAGCGCTTTCACCTCGAGTACATGATAAGGCGCCATATCAAATGCAGGGATTATTATTATTTGCCATGATAAAGCACCATAAAAATAGAAATACATCTTGTCAACCAACGAACATGTGTTATTCAGCCAGGCTCCACTGATGGGGAGCCAGTGGAGTTTGGCCAGGCTCCACTGGCTCCCCCACATAAGAGATTAATAAAAAAATTAGAGGCCCACGGTATTAAGGGGACAGTGGCCGTTTGGATTAAGAATTGGCTGAGTGACAGAAAGCAGAGGATGGTAGTTAATAGGTGTTTCTCGAAATGAAAGGAGGTGTGCAGCGGTGTCCCCCAGGGATCGGTATTGGGACCACTGCTCTTTCTAATATATATTAATGATCTGGACTTGGGCATAGAGAGCACTATTTCCAAGTTTGCAGATGATACAAAGTTAGGTAGGGTAGTAAATAGTGAGGAGGACTGTAACCAACTGCAAGCAGACATACACAGAATGTTGGAATGGGCTGACATGTGGCAGATGGATTTCAATGTGGATAAGTGTGAGGTGATACACTTAGGAAGAATGATAGGAGGCAATATAGACTTGGTAGCTCAATCTTAAGGGGGGTGAATGTACAGAGAGATCTGGGTGTTCAAGTAAGCGAATCATTAAAGGTAGCGGGGCAGGTAGATAAGGCAGTAAAAAAGGCATTTGGTGTACTGAGCTTTATTAGTAGGGGCATAGAGTATAAGAGTAGGGAGGTTATGGTTAATCTATACAAAACACTGGTTAGGCCTCAGCTGGAGTACTGCGTCCAGTTCTGGGCACCTTACTTCAGGAAGGACATTAAGGCACTGGAAAGGGTGCAGAGGAGATTCACGAGAATGATACCAGGAATGGGGAATCTTAGCTATGAGGACAGGCTGGAGAAGTTACGACTTTTCCCATTAGAGCAGAGAAGGTTACGCGGGGACCTGATAGAGGTCTTCAAGACCATGAAAGGTTTCGACAGGCTAGATAGGGAAAAGCTGTTTCCGCTGGTAGGTGTGTCTGTGACCCGTGGTCACAGTCTTAAGATATCTACCAAAAGAAGCAGAGAGGAGGTTAGAAGAAATTTTTTCACTCAGCGAGTTGTTCGAATTTGGAATGATTTGCCTGAAAGGGTAGTGAAGTCCGATTTGATAACATCTTTTAAGAGAGAACTGGATAGGTATCTGGGGAAGACGGGTTTGCAGGGTTATGGGAAGAAAGCTGGTGATTGGGGTTAGTGAAAGTGACTTGCTCTGTCAAATGGCCTCCTTCTGTGCCGTAACATTCTATGAATCTATGAATCACCGAACAGATCGACTTCAAGATCCTCACACCCATGTTCAAATCCCTTCACTCTTTGGCACCTCCCTACCTCTCTGACCTCCTCACTCCTCCCCAATCCACCTCCCTTGCCTCCGCTCGACTGGAACCGGCTTCCTCCTTGTCCCTTGCAACCTCCACCCCACCATTGGACGTCGCGCTTTCAGCCACTATTCCCAGAAACCCTGGAACACACTCTCTCAATCCCTCCACCTTACCCCCTCTCTCCCCTTTTTCAAGTCCCACCTGGAAATCTTCCTCTTTGACCGTACTTATGGCCACCTCCCCCCCCCCACCCACCGACTCAGAGTCAGGCTTCACCACTGTTAAGCGCTCTGAGACGCTACCCTGTTGGAGGGCGCTGTATAAGTGAAAGTTGTTGTTTTGATGCTTGTTCACTGTATTGAAAAGGTGCCAACTAGAAATCTGTGTTTCTGTATTTTCTCTTCCAGGATGGAATGACTATGTGTATGTTTATGCAGAACACCCTAACAAGACTGCAGAGGTATTAGTCTATGATGCTATACAAAGCGATACCTTTCGGGTATGAATTTCCATTGATTAGAAAGAAGCATCGGGTGTATTTGTAAACCGAACCGAGTTAATTCTGAATGTTGTTAGTTCAATTTGGAAATGATGCATATTTAAAAATCTGTTCAGAAATGTATACTTTCCACTGGCATCTTTAAAAGTGTGCTGCAGTCTGCAAAAGTCTTAGAGTCACAAAAACAATGTCCAATGTGAAATTGAGACTCACAACCTGGAAGGTCTGAAATTTGATCCCTGTTCTGTTTTAGCTCATTTCAATTGGGAGAGCAGAGGTAGAGCATTATAATTGATCTATGGATGAAGTAAGGGATAAAAGCAACAACAACAACAAAATTACATTTGTATAACGCCTTTCACGTCAGGAGGACGTCCAAAAGGTCATACAATATTCCTGTTCTGGATTGCTGTCCTATGATTCCTAATTGTAAAATATCCAGTGCCACACAGAGGGTTATGACAATGTGGAATACATTGCTCCTGGAGGCTATGGAGGAAGAATCAGTTGGGATGATTAAAAGATACAGATGGAGATTTGGGAAGTGATGGTATTAAGGAATATGGAGAAAATGTAGGGAAATAAGATCAAAGATTTACCATGATGTAATCAACTGGCAGTTCGGTTATTCTGTTGTTATAGTCCTTAAATTACAAGTTATAGTGGCATGAAAAAGGGCAGAAACTCTGATCTTAAGCTTCAATGGGCTTGTCTAATTAGCTTTAGTTTACAAAAAGTGTAAGTAATTTAGATTGTGCGCCTTGAAGATGATGGATGTCATCGTATTAAATATGTTATGTCATTTCATAGGCTAGAAATCCATCATATTCACTGAAAGTACAGAAATAATAAAAGCAACATTATGTTATAAAAATATTACATTGTAATTTTTTTTTAAAAGGCTCCTGGTAATGATTTAGTTGGTGAGAAGGGCTAATTAATTGTATCAGAAGTCTACTAACCTTCCTGATATTCCCAGTGTAGACTACCGCTGATCAGTGTGGCTTTAGTGCAAGGAGTCGCTCTTGGAGGAGGAGCAGAACTCACTACAGCGTGCGATTTCAGGTGAGCAGTAATGTCTGGGGTGAACTTTGGTTGAACGGTTTGCCAGTAACTAATGACACAAGTCAACAGATACAATACAATTTATACTTATACAACAACAGCAAAAACAAAATAAGGCCAAGAAGTTCCCAATTTGTGTTGCGTTAGCTGATGCATAATGGACCAATACACTGGAGTTATTATTCTTGGACTAGGAGGGAAAAATTAGCTTGCCTTCCCACTTGTTAGTGATAATTAGTAATCTCTAATGGAAAGGAAGTGTGTGGGTGAAAGTAAACGTGAAACTGATTTTAAAACAGTTCTTCGTGTTCGCAAACCCCAGTCATTGTGTTAGAATTGCTGTATGCTTGACAGCATCAGCATCCAAGGCTGCACTCTCCACCTCTCAAAGCCAGTCAGGAACCTCGGTGTTTTGTTCGACCCTGAGCTGTCCTTTCTTCCCCACATCCGCGCCGCAACTGGCACTGCCTTCCACCACCTCCGGAACATCGGCAGACTATGGCACTACCTCACCCCTCACGCTGCTGGTCCACGCCTTTATTACCTCAAGGCTGGACTACAGGAACTCTCTCCTCGCCGGCCTTCCCGGCACCTCCCTCCATAAGCTGCATGTCATTCAGAACTCTGCAGCTCGTGTACTGTCCCGCACCAGGCTTCGGGACCACATCACTCCCACCCTCGCTCGCCTCCACTGGCTCCCCATCCCCCAGAGGATCGAATTCAAGATCCTCATCCTCACCTACAAGGCCATTCACGGCCTTGCACCCTCCTACCTCTCCGACCTACTATCCCCCTACCTACCTGCCCGTACCCTCCGTTCCTCTGGCTCCGGTCTGCTCCACATCCCCTGTCCCAACCGCCCTACCATCGGTGGCCGGGCCTTCAGCCTCTCAGCCCCAAGGCTTTGGAACTCCATCCCCCAGTGCCTTTGCCTTGCCTCCTCCCTTTCCTCCTTCAAGGCCGGTCTCAAGACCTTTCTCTTCAACCGTGCCTTCAGCTCCCCTCTCGACTCTTTACCCCCTCCTCGCTCCCTCCCTTCCCTCCCCTCACCCTAACATTTACCCCCTGCTCAGGTCCCGACCCAACTGTCCAGCGCCTTGGGTCTTCCTCCCGACGTGAAAGGCGCTCTATAAATGAAATCTTGTTGTTGTTGTTGTTGTATGCTGATATGCAATTTCTCTCATTGCTTGTGAAAAAGTTAATGTAGGAAGCAAATGCATGATTTTGATCATCTCAACAAAATCATGGTACGGGAAAGAATAGAAACTAGGATTGGGGAGGAAACCGGTGATGTGTCGGGGCGTGGGGTGGGGCTTTAGCCAGGTATCTTAACACATCTGTAAACACTCTGCTTAAGAGTATCCAAACGAAGCTGAGAGATCCATGCATCTCACCTACACATGGAAATTCCCAACATATTTTTTAAACGGAATGCGTACTCTCTTCTGGAAGGATGCATGTCGCTTATCTAATTCCAGAGAGTATTGAAATTCCGGAGTTAAATTGAAGAAGGAAAAGGAGGAACTGACGAAAAACTGTGCAAAATGCAAAATGTGTTTGGGATTTGTGCTAAAATACTGTACCTCGAATGCACAAAGTTATCATTACTTATCCTTTGAACTTCATTGAATCTTCTATAAACAATTGAAGGATTTATTTGTTATGATTCAAAATAATGCAGTGTTCTGTACATAGCCACTAATCAACAAATCATCAAGTGTACATTTTGTACTGCACTAAATACCAAGGAGATGGTAGGTGCAGTAGATAATATTTTGATAAGCCTAGATAGTCAGATAGGCTGAATGGGAGCTCACACCGTCTCTTTCCGATGACTGTTAAGTCCTAAGTGAAATCGATTTAATCGCAGTTCTCAGTGGACCTGACCCTGTGTTTAAATGACAGTCTCACTCAGAGTGGATATGAAGATAAATGAGCTGGTAGTTCTCTTCTAAAGTTAGATTTCGAAGCATATTACTAGTGCTCTGCACATCTTTTTGTTACTCTTATTTCCATACGTGTTGCCCTCCTCTCTGATACATGCCAATTGAAACACAGCTGGTGGAATTGTTTTTTGGGGGAATGGATTATTTAAGACTACTATTAGGATATTCATGCACTTTATTGAAGAATAGGGCTTTCCAGTCAGTGTTTTTACTAGTAAACAAGTTTTTGTTTAATATATTGGGAATTAAAATGTCTCCATATAGTTAAACAATCTAGTTTCACGTTATCATGGAATTACTGTAAGCAACGGAACAAAGCAAGAGCTGCTGCTGTGACTAAGGCAATGCAGTGATCGGGTCATGACATTTCTCATTACATCCCCATTGGGAGATGACTTTAACTTGATAATTTAATAAAGTGCAATGTTTTGTTAAGTCCTCCAAACAAATTGAGTATTGAGTGATGCACTTATTCTTCATTTTTTATGTTAGGAAATATTCACTTGTTAACTGTTGGAATTAAATTTGTATGAAAATCTGGTGGGGAGAATGGGAAAATCATTGTTTCTTTTTTCAGGATAAAACCGAGTAGGGAAATTCAATATTATAACCGACTCAGCAAAACATTTTTGCATACTTGTTTATATAATCTGTTTTGACAGTATGTTTTTTAAAAAAAATCTTTTCTACTTTATTTAGGCTATAAAGAATTTTACATTTTTAAGTTATCATGGAGATGAGAGTAAACGTTTCAGATCTTAATAGATGAAAGACTTCATAGTCCGCACATTGATTGTTCAATAGCTATGAATAAAAAGGGCCACTAGTAGGACGTCTTGAGGCAGGACTTGAAGGAGGCTAAGTAGGTTTAAACCATCCAGTTCATTATGTTAGATTTAAGCAGTAATGAAATTCTCTAAAAGCCTTTGTACGATTATGAAATGATCAAGCAGTGTAATTAATAAGCAGCATGATGGATTTTCATTAAAAGGGCATTCCAGGAAACGTGCTCATTTTACACAGGTCAGGTTTGAATCCAGAACTTGCGTTAACATTATGGTAACATAGAGATGCAGATCTTCGCTGTGATTAACTGCAGATTATTCCTCAATAAATTCTTGTGAAATGTGTAGAGCTGGTTAGAGAACTTGCGAATGCTTAATACTAGCTCAAAATCAAGTCTTACACTTGTACATGCATAAAATAAAGTCTATATAATTGACATTCATTAAAATTAGGTTAAATAAAAACAACTCATTGAGCAGACATTTTTATTTGATATTTATTCACATATTGATGAGAATGTGAGAAACTCACTCAATGGAAAGAATGAAAGCACTGATGTGCGTTAACCAAACACTTGAAGTCAGGCATTGTCTCCGATGTTGCAATGCGGAGTATTCTGCAAGCAATGGATCACGTTGCAGGTCAATAAGCTCGAGTTGGAGATAAAATGGGGCTTTGTCAACGTCAAATGAGAAAGGTGAAGAGACCAAAGACAGGTCATTTTCGATCAAAGTGAAATCCTGGAATCTGCGAGAAAATTCGGCATGTAAGTCAAGTAGTGACCAAGTATACTTTTTAAGGCTTTGATCGCAAACAGTAATCTGCTGCAAAGTTGGAAAGTGGGTGAACAGCCTGTTTCCTGTGTGACGCGATAAAATAAATAATTTTGTCATAAATGACTTGACACTGCAATACAAATTGTGCACAAAGGCCCCTTTCCATTGCAGTTTTGAATTCAGTTCATTCATGTGGCCCATGATATCAACAGCAAATGTGAAATCAGAGAGCCAATTCGCAATCATTCAGCTGTGGGAAATCCAAATCTTTTTGTTTCAGGCCCAAAAATAAATCAATCTCTGTTCTCAGTTCCCACACTCTTTTCAAGATCTTTCCTAAACTAAGCCATCAACATTAATGTGATACAGAACATCTGTGCTCGGATTCCAATTCCTCAAGCAGAGTTACAAATTGCCTGTGGTTTAAAACTCTTGCTTGAATGTAGTTGACCACTTTCGTAACTGTGTCCACGACATTGCTTAGTTTTAGAACACTCTTCTGTGAGCTCAAAATGTTTGGTGATACCTCAAATAAAAATTATCAACTGGGCTGTGTCTTTGACATCACAACTCTCATCGAGTGCCAGTAAAAAACATGCAAAATTGCTTACTTTATTTTGTAACTGCAGATACAGGTTCTCAGAGATATCCACGACATGTCTCACAAGAGTTCGCCTTGACAAGCTAATGTTCTCAAACTGTTTTTTCTCGTCTGGACATAAAATCGAGGCAGAGTCAACCATATATATATATATATATATATAACCTTTATAAATTCTCCTTCAGAGAATGGTTTGCTCTTTCTTGGCGATTTTGTGTGCTACCACATAACTCACTCTTCTAATTTCATCCTGGAACGCAAATTGTTTTGTGAAAACGCTTTGCTCTTTTTGCATTCGAATAACCATCTCATCAGCTTTCTTGCCTTTTTCTTTGGCAGAAATGTTCTTATATTTGCAAATATGTTTGCTCTCAAAATGGCAATTCAAGTTGTAGTCTTTGAGCACTGCCACACTTTCTTTGCAAATGAAGCACACGGCTTTTCCACCCACACTGGAAAAAAAAATTTAGAAGTCCATTTTTTGTTGAATATTTAGCCTTCAGCGTCCACTTTCCGCTTCTTTGATAAAGACATTTCGAATTAACATCCTCTTCAGCGAAAAGCGGTTGCTGCGCGCGTTTGAAAATTTGCCGATCCATACATTTCTGACGTCAGCCTGATTCAACACTTAAGGGAGCGTGCGCACAACTAAGCAGTGTGATTGGCTGATGTTCCTGGTCAGATTCAAATGCGAAATTTGTGCGACTTTTTGGGACTGAACAAACTATAATTTTTTCTATTGCTAGACACAATGATGGGCCGGATATGGCCTGTGGGCCATCTTTTGCCCACCCCTGTGCTAGAGGCTGAGGCAACCTCTGTACATTTGCAAATAAGTGTCTGCCTGTTCAGATAGATGACAAAACTTCCATGATGCTGTTCGAAAGGAAAAGGGTGTTTCTTCTGGTATCTTGTCCTGGTCAACAATCCTCCAGATAGATTAGATAAATTGTTTGTGGGACATTCCTGTGTGTAAATTGGCTTGTTTGCAAGCTCAAATACAGAACTATGTGAATTGGCACAAATTTGTAATTCGTAAATTGTAGTTTGTTTTATAACACTGTATTCAAGAGCAATTTGTGGGACTTCTCATTAACATTAAAAATGACCCTCTAAACTTGTAAGTGACCATTTTTGATTGGATACAAAACTGATTTGCATGGTCTGTATTTACATTGAAGTGATGTCAGACCTTTTTCTGATGGAACGACCTTCTCCAGGTTCCAACCATTAATTATACTGAGCTAATAATGCCAATTTGCTGCTATTTTCATGACTGACTGATGCAAAAGGCACATTTAAATAGGGCACGACAGGCTTGGTGTTGAGTACAGGAATGCGTGCAAATGGGAGGGGAGAAAATTCTATCCTTACATTCACCATTGCCCTACTGACATAGCCTTGATCTCAGTTCTTCCTTCCTTCCAACGACAGCTCAATTGAATTACAGTAGCCAAATCTAGTGAATCCCCACGTCATTCACCCATAAATGTTCATCAGCTAGGAATGGCAGCATTCGACATGGCAGGCGACGGAAATGGATTTTTCCGCAGACGACTCAAATCAAGGCTGTTTTTTTTTTGTGGTCCTATCAGCGATGGTGGGCCTGCTGTGCTAAGCAAGGTATATACGATTCTGTTCAAACTGATATTCAAGTATCTATAAGCTAAATACAGCATTAAACAAACCTGTTATTTGTAGCCTCATTAGGAATGAAACTCAGCAATTGGCACTAATCACATAGACTCTCATTACTTGGTTAAGTACAAGCAATTATAGCTTTTGATGACTTGGTTTAATAGTGCTTGTGTCTGCTGATTCAATAATTAACTTCTTGCCGTGCTGGCTGGGAGTTTTACTTATTGTCCAACAGCTTTCCTTTTAGATATATGGCAAATTAACCTGTGTAACTGAATGAATATTCCTTAAGCATGTGTGTCAACTGGCTGGTAGTATTATATGCTGTATATTTATAATATATATATCAACTGATCCGTGTAGTCCATCCATTGAAGGACAGCTTCATAGGGAGAAGTACTTTCAGTATTCGACAGCTTCTCCTTGAATCAACTAAAACTCTTCCGGTAGGAGATGATCTTAACTTCATTGTTGAAGTTTAGCTAAATGGAGATCTGCCATTTAAAATCTCCTTTTTGAACCAGAGTCCCTCTTCTTTCACATTATTTACAAACATGTCTTGTAATGGCTTCAACAGGAGCAAAGAGGATATCAATTGAGAGTCACCAAAACTAAGAAATATCTACTCAGCTCTCTGCTGTCAGTGATGCAGTGCCTTGTGACAGGACATAATCCGAAGGATCTAAGGATTGAAAGTCAACAACAACGAATTGTATTTATATAGCACCTTTCATGTCGGGAGGATGTCCCAAAGTCAGTAATGAAATTAAGATGCTTGAGGTGGAAGAGTACTTAATATTAAAAGTGATTGTCCTTCCTTCTTTATGCTATTGTTCTCTTAATATACCAGCTGCGCTGTGATAACTTTGGGTATACATAATATATGATAAGCAGATATTTTTATTCATGTTTGTTTGTTCTATTTTAACAGGCTAATGACTTCAGAAAGTGAGATTCGTTTTGTTCACAAGCTCATGGGATTGGTACCAGGATGGGGTGGAGCCACCAGACTTGTTCAGATAATTGGATACAGGAATGCTCTTAAATTACTAAGCAGTGCTGACCGTGTGCGTTCTGCGAAGGCGCTGAGGATCGGTTTGGCTGATAAAATTCTGCCATCCTCTGATCACAATTGGTGCATGGAAGAGACCCAGAAATGGCTGAGTCATTATATCAAGGGATCCTCGAAAGTCATTCAAGCAATTAAAAATGTTGCGGTTTCAGGGAGAGAACTGCCGCTAGAAGAGTCATTGAGGAATGAAAAGTGCATCTTTAGCACAATGTGGGCCTCCCCTGACAATCTGAAAGCTCTATCGACAGTAATGAAACATAAATAAGTGCTGATATATGAATGGATGTGTTGCTCACCTGATGTCCATTTTAGCCTTTAATAGCATTTGAAAATCAGATGTGATGAGCAAAGGGACTACAAAATGTTTGTTTGGTACAAAAAATGTAAATTACATTTTTACCCAATTAGTTTTTTCTTCTCATAATAAGAAATGGTTACTTGATTAAATGCAAGAATTAAAAAAACATACTTTTAGATTAAAACTGTATTTTTGTTTTTGCTTATGCAATAAAAGAGAATCAATTCAGTTATTGCTAGCCATAATTATCGATGTTTGTTGTGTTTTGCTTTAGTGTGGCTCTTTCTTTCCTATAATAAATCAGAATTGATGTGAAAATAGTCTGCTATATGAAGCACTTGCACTTGAAGCTGAATTGCTGACAGTTTGTCTGTGGAGACAATGTGCAACATATTAGTGCTTAAATTACTAAGCAGTGCTGACCGTGTGCGTTCTGCGAAGGCGCTGAGGATCGGTTTGGCTGATAAAATTCTGTATCCACCTCCAGTGTACAAATGTATGTACACTGGAGGTGGATACAAGCCGGACACAGCAGTGTTTTGCAGGATGCTTTGCAACAAAATTTTAAGCATTAAAAGTTTAAACTGAGTTATGCTGAAATGAACTCTTGGAATGGGAAAATGTTAGTTCTATTACACACACTTTGGATTTTCTTTTCTATGTTACAGTAGAAATTTATGGGACAGAAGGCCATTTGGCCCAACGTTTTTGTGCCATTTATGTGGGGTGAAACAAGGCTTATTGTAGTCAGAAGTAATAACCATGTAGAACTAAAACAAACCCTATCTTTCCTCCATTTGTTTATTTTATAATTAAAATTTTACTTTTTGTAATTAAACTATTCTATAGATTCATTTTCCTTCACTTCATGGAATCCCAATATCCATTTAGAGTTAGTTGATAGTCGTTTGTTAGTTACAATCAAATCAATTTACTTTGTTCCTAAAGCATCCAAACAAGAATCACTAACGTGGATATAAGAATAATACTAATCCTTGCATTTGATATGGCACTTTTGCACTTTTCATGTCTTCTAGATGTCTCAAAGCGCTTCACAGAATATACTGTAAAGTGATTGACTATTATTTGTGGGCGAAACGCGGCAGCCAATTGTGCACAGCAGTGTTCCACAAACAGTCGTTGATTAAGTGACCAAANTTTTTTTCTTGAGGGATATTATCATGCACGTGGAGCAAGAAAACTGGTGATGGCAACATTATCATATTTCAACCCAAAACATGCCTGAAGTGTTCCTTCACAGCTCATTACATTTACAAGCAACACTTACAGGAAATTTGCATGAAGACAATATATCTAAGACAATTTATCTAATATAAACTTCATATTTATAATTAATTTTTAAGATCATTTAATCTTGAACTCTGGCTAAGATAAATGTTCTTTGCTTGTATATATCCAGTAAATTATTTTGACTTAAATTTGATTTTTTTTACACCACTTGTCTTTTTTCAAAGTTTAGTGGCTTAACTTTTATCTATTGTGAAACCTTTCTTTGGTAACAGTCTGGATGTTGCAAAACATGATATTGCCACTGTTTTCCAAGGATAACTGACTCAGGGAAAGGTGTTAAGTATCACCGATTTGCACTTGCAAAATCACACTCATTTGCATGAACTAAAATTTATCATTGAGATCTGAATAATGATGACAGATTTCTGAGTAGGTGCGTTAACTTATCTTTAACAGCAAGTTCACTCATTCTTAATTAGAAAGAACAGCCTTTCCTCCTTGGGGGGGTAAATGTAAATGTATGCCAATACATACCTCTCATGGAGGCTTTTCAAGTTGGAAAACAGACCTACACTACTATCCAAAACTGAGCTTGTAGGACTCTGGATCTTTGCTTTGAATCCTCTTCAGTAAAAACATCAACAACAAATTACAATCATATACCAGCTTTCACACAGGATAGCACTTCGGAGAGCTCCATAGTGGTGACAATGGGCACTGAGCAAGTTGGAGAAGCTGGAGGTGACTAAGAGTGGTTGAAGAAAGCAGGAAATTAAGATGTTAAACAAAGGTACGTTTGTGCAAATTTTCTGTGTGTGAAAACTACTTGCAGATCTAGTCTGCGGTCAAAATAGTTTTTCTGATGCACATCTCCTTCAGGGAGGGGCTGGAATGAACAGTAGATTGATGACACAGCTTCTTAAACAGAATATTTTCCAAATATACCTTCCTCGAGTAGTCAAATAATATAATAACAATCCTTGCATTTGATATAGCGCCTTATCATGTCACTGAGACATCTCAAAGCGCTTAACAGAATATACTGTAAAGTGGATTGATGGTCATGGTCTTCAGTACTTTGGCCACAAGCAACTTTACAATGAGGCAAAACGTAAAATACTGCAGATGCTGGAAATCTGAAAACAAAACCAGAAGTCGCTGGGAACACTCAGCAGGTCAGGCAGCATCTATGGAGAAAGGAAAATGAGTCAAACATTTTGGGTCCACAACCCTTCGTCAGAACTGGGGTATGTTAGGAGGGAGAGGCTTTTATAATAATAATAATAATAATAATCCTTGCATTTGATATAGCGCTTTTCACGTCGGGAGGACGTCCCAAAGCGCTTCACAGAATAGACTGTAAAGTGAATTGACTGTATATTTGTGGGCGAACGCGGCAGCCAATTGCGCACAGCAATGTCCCACAAACAGTCGTAGATTGAAAATGACCAATTTATTATTGTTTTTTGTTTTGGAGGGATTATTATTAGGCGTGTGGAGTAAGGAAACTTGCCCAAGGTTTCGCCCTGCCTGGAATTGAACTCAGATCTCTCGCTTGCAAAGCGAGAGCTCTAACCACTGAGCTACAGGACTCCACAGGACTTTCTGAATTTCTTTTGAATTTTTATATAGAGACAGTAAGTGCTAACAAAGTCAGTGGTCCATTTGCTGTACCTTCCCAGCCAGTTTACCTGCTATTATTATTAATAAACAACCAATGACTAAACCTTTCTTTTTGCAAACTAGAGAGAAATATACAAGAAGAACATGAAAGCGAATGTATCTCTAGGGTCCCTTAAAAAGGGTCCCGATGGAGCAGCTCTTTCTTTAGTATGGAAAATCAGATCTTTTTATTTTAACAGTAAATTTGAAGTAGAGATGCAATCGGCTGCTACCACACTCACATTACAGCTAGTGTGAACTTTACCATTTCAAACATCCAACCACAAATAATTAAATATATTCTATGGATTTTAAATATTTACACTCTCTTGCTTGCGATTTTCTTCCCGTGCTCACGTTAGCATTTCACATCCATGGTGGAGTTGGGGGTGAGCACAGCAATTGTGTCTCTCATAACCCCACACACATGCTCACAAAACGTGAGAGAACCCGCTCACCCTTTTAAGGGCTAACAGAGAGTAGGGAGGCAGGGCAAGGAAGACAAAGGAGAAAATGGGGTAGAGAACAGGGGATGATGGGTTAAAGGTGTTAATGATGCAAAACAAAGGGGAGGATTGCAACAAAGCAGGGGAATAGAGGTATTAATACTGCAAAACAAAGTGGGGGGTGGAATGCAACAAAATAGGCAGAGCAGAGAGAGAAAAGGTGTGTCTGGGACCAAGATGATGTGGTAATGGTCACGGAAGAGGGGGAGGAAGATGAGCTGTTATGATCTGAAATTGTTGAAAATCAATATTGAGGCCAGAGAGCTGTAGGGTCCCTAGCAGATAAATAAGGTGCTGTTTCTCAAGCTTGTACTGTGGCTCATTGGAACAGGGTAGGAGACCATGGATTGAGAGGTCAGAGTGGGAGGGAGAGTTGAAGTAGCAAGAAACCGGAAGCTCAGGGTTGTGCTTGCGGACAGAATGGGGGTGTTTGGCGAATCGGTCACCCAATCTGCGTTTTGTCTTAGTGTAGAGACCACATCGTGAGCAGCCTGAGCTTCCGGTTTCTTGCCACTTCAACTCCGCCCTCACCCCTTCCCCCCCTTCCCAGAACCATGATAGGGTTCCCATAGTCCTCACCTTCCACCCCACCTTCTGTTTTTGTTTACAATGAGTCTTCTTCCTGTCTGAAGCCTCATGTAATTAATTTGAATGTTATTGGGACTGCCATTGTGAAAGCAAATAATAATCTTGCATTTGATATAGCGCTTTTCACGTCTTCCAGACGTCTCAAAGAGCTTCACAGAATATACTGTAAAGTGAATTGACTGGATTTTGTGGGCAAAATGCAGCAGCCAATTGCGCACACCAGTGTCCCACAAACAGTTGTGGATTAAGTGACCAATTTATTATTGTTTTTTTTTCTTGAGGGATTATCATCAAGCGTGTGGAGTAAGGAAACTTGCCCAAAGATCGCTTTACGGGACTCCAAATGGCCAGTGTTGCCATTCCAAATAGTTCAAATGTGATTAATCTAATCATCACCCACAACAATCTGCTTAACCCTATTTAGGATATGCTCCAATGACTGAGCTTAAGTGCAGAAGTTAAGGGTCATTCCCAATGTAGTACATGAGTAACACAGATAGGAACATGATAAAAGCCATCCCCAGGGATTCTGAAAGTTGGAAGAATAATGACAAAATGTCTGCACATAACTCATCCATCAAATGGCCTTAATAAACTGCTTATATTAATAGGTCAGCTGAAGAAGGAAAAGCAGTTCAATACAGACAACTTAATGCCAATAATGATGAGGGTCCCAAAATGAGACCCTTTTGTTCAACGATTTTAAGTTAACCTCTTTGATGCTAATCTTAAGCATTATTCAATTCCTAACGTGATGCACTACCTTTCTAATAACTTTAGTGACAATTGGGAAGGTGGGTAAATAGTGTGTCAATCATTCAACACCTTGAACTCATTCAACATGAAGACAGCAATATTCAGACAACTGTTGAAGTTCATATCTGCAGTCCATCTGGTTCAAGCATTATTGCCTCTTTCACCCCTGCTTCACACAATTTTGATGTGCAATATATTCATACATAAGAACAGTTCTCCATTATCCAGTGTCAAAACACGCAACTCTGGTCTGAATGAAGATAAATTGGTCAAAAAACAAAGGATAGCTTGTTGAATAGCAGAATGCTGTTCAATATTTTCAATCAGATGGTAGCAGACACAACATAGCTAGTACAAAGCGTCATTCTCCAACAACAGTACCCAATAGATAAGACTAGTTGCAAACAGGATGTATCGTGGTGATTCTGAAAGGAAAACACATGAAATACTCATTTTGATTTTCATTGTAACTGGAAGTTACACACATAAGAATGTATCCAAAAAAACCTTGATGCTGTGTGAAGATGTGAATAAAATAAGGACTAGCCTTTCATACCATGATCTATTTAAAATGCATTTAGCAATAACTCCATTAACAGCAATTTGTAAAAGTACAGCAGGATGCACAATTTTTTTCAAATGCTTGATTTAGACTATGCCATCAGCTACACAAGAAGGATGCTAAACAAATAGACGCCATTGTGTATGCACTATCTTGTATTTTTATGTAAAAATATCAGTTATTTTCTTTTCGTCCAATTTTTCCCTTCGGTTTTTGAGACGCTTCAATAGATGTCTGTAAGCGTCATGCCATAAAGCGTCAGTCACAAGTCCTACAATGGACACTGGCCTTTTAACTGATGAATGAAGGCAGGAGCATTGAAACTAGGCAAGCCCAAATACCTTGCCCTATTTTGCTTGTATTTATGTCACCTCATAGACAACATTCAAGCTAAGTTCAGCCCTGTCTTAATTCAATCATGGATTTTGTGTTGGGGAGGCAAAGTTTCAATATTGAACAATGAAAAGTCACAAACAAGTTAAACGTTCAGATGTTTTACATTACATTTTAAGTAGCTTAGAAATCAAATGGATTCAAGAAACCCCAAATTATTCCAAACACACAAAAATTTCACTTCTAGAGCACCAAAATTCTTAAAATACAAATGTTTAATTGTAATGCGCTTGAAAATAGCTACTACTATCCTCATTATTATAATTTAGAATTCCTGCAGGAACGATTTTATTGCAGAATCACAAAATGCTCATGTTAAACATGTTGGCGGATAATGCATCAGAATCATCCAAGGAGAACCAGAGGACAAATAGTGATAATCAGCAGAAAAATAAATCAATACCTCCAGGAATAGAGTTTTTTCCCTTCTATAGATTCAATCCAGGACTACTGTATTTTAAGTAATAACATTGTGCCAGCCTTCAAATCTGAATACATTTAAATTCTTAATTGAAATATATTTATGTCCAGTTTTACCTTGGTTTCTTTAAAATATATATTTAGTAATTCAAAGGGTTTTATGCTACTTTATTCGGTAAGCTATTCCAGATTTAGATCTGCGTTACTCAAGTTTTCTTGGGATGAGACTAAATGCCACAAATATAAAATAGAGGGAGCAAGGGAGGAGAAAAGGAGGGATCAATCTGCCTTTAATTCTAAAAATATGGAGGAACAGCAGTAAGGCTGCTTCAGGCCAGGAACTTTGGAGACATTTTAGGAAAATACCAATTGTAAGTTGTAGATGAGGTATATAGCCTGCTTCTCGAAATACTTGTTTCTTTTTATGAAGAAATGTGCACATTACATTAAAAGGCTGAGATAATAGCCACAGCTAGTCCATTCTTCAGTAAAATATGTCTAACAACATTGATGCTGGGCTTCAGTCTGGGAAAATTTATGTCTAGCTGTTTAGGCTAAAACAAAACAATTTATTAAGTTTAGTATACAAATCGTGTAACAAAAACAACAATATAGTCAAGTTAAAAGTTTCATTTGATAAACAGAAATCTAGTGTATTAGAGACTATTGGAGATTACACAGGTTACAAAAGTTAGAGACCAAATATTTTAGCAACATCGAAAGAGAAAAGCTGGTCTAGTATCCAGGTACAGTAAGGTCTGATGAATGGGAGGAAATGCATTATTGACTGATGCCAAGCTTGCAAGGTCACAAAGGCTTTGTTTCAAAAAGGACTTCTCACAAAGGAAATTAATGTTAGACCAATAGCGAAATCTTTATAGGTTTACTTCCTACTGTAGTTAGAATGTGAAATTGGAACTCGACTAATTGTTTCTATCAATCTAATATTTCAATGAATTTCATCCACATAGGTGATGCTCACAGGCATTACCAGTCTCAATTACAGACAATGATATATGGATAGATGGCGGGTGGGGGAGAGAGAGGGCATTGTAACAACATGCCTTTCCACAAAGTAGAAAATAAATTAAAATATTACAGGGGGGACACACAGGAAAGTCGTGATTCTTAGTTCAGGTACACAAGGAATAAAGCTGTATTCAAACTCCCTCACTTGACAGAGTCGTGTAAGCTTTGACAACTTTTTTTCTGAAAATATGATACACAAGAGACACATTATATACTTTACCAATGGGAAGTTTCGGGGCTTCCACCACTATCAGCGCAGTTTTTTTTGCTAACAGGTTCAGAATTCACATTTTACAAGACATGCACAAGGGTTGAGACAGTTTGAAATTCAACAGAAATGTTTAAATCACTGAAAATAAATTCAATGCTATCACAATAAATATCATGCATTAACTACTTTACACAGTCTATGACAAAACAAAAACAGAAGAGGAGTCAGTTGTGTCAAAAAGATGTAAAGTATTTAAAAATTACTTCGATTTTATCTGAGTGCAATCTTGGGTGAGAAATTTGAAAGTTTCTCAGTTGCCCTTAATTTCTCAAATGTTAGCTTTGTTCTTTACTGAATCGGTAATCGTAAGATCTAGACTTCTGTTACAGTGCACTGTCCATCAGGTTGCTGCTCCCTGGCTCCTACGCTGGTACTTGGCTCTTCCAGAGATGGTTCGCCTCCTGGTATTTCATTTTCCCTTTCACTGCTTGGAGGAATGAGTCTTTGCCTGCTGTGGTTGGTTGACACAGACTGAAGCTGGCTGGTGTTTTCATCCTCACTATCGCTGCTAGTACCAGACTCTGTGCCATCATAAAGCAAGCTGGCTGCACTTTGTGAAGTAATCACTCTACCTGTAGGCACTGAGTCCTCCTGCTCCTCTCCCTCTCCTCTCCGACTCCTGGTCGTGCTTTGATCTTGCAACTGCAACTGAGTAAAGGAGCTCACAAGAGACACAGTGGCTTCTGGTGAAAAAGTTAGTGGGCTGCCTGGCTGCCCAGGAAGGGACACTGCTGGCATAACCGAAGGCCTAATTATGGCAACAGAAGGCTGCACTGAAGCTGCTGTGGAGCCAGTATCTGCTGCACTATCTGCTCCATCAGCAGAGTTCTCTCTTTCTGAAGATAAACCATTGGAGTCACAGTCCAATCGAAGCCCTGCTACTCCCTTCTTGGGAATATCTACTATGTCTCGTTTCATTTTTCGACGTCGCCCATGCTCGTTACGTCGGAACTGAACCATGTTTTCCAAGTCTGCAACATACAAAAAGCCAGCTATGAGCATCTCAATTGTTTTTTTGCCCTTCAGATAAGCATCTTCAAGTTCCATGCTTGTGCGCTCATCGTATTGCCACCAGCCATTTCTGCCTTCATAGTACCAAGCGTACTCCCCATTCCCTCGGCTTGCTGCTTTGAGTTCCTCAGGGGACAGCAAAGCGGGCTTGTCCAGGAAGTCTTCAGGGATTTCCTGCCGACACAGTGCGCACCGTCTGCTTTGCCATGATGCTCCCTTCACACACAGAAAACAGAAGATATGTTTGCATGGCAGTTTAACAGGATGGACACATGTTTGAAGGCAGATAGCACATTCTGGAACATTCAGAGAAGGTGCTGTGTTTGAGCAAGACTCGTTGATCTTCCTCCCGCCTGGAAGCATGTTGGATGCACGATCGACATCCCCATAGCCAGCCATCCTAGGATACAATACATAGATCTTACATCAGTAACCCAAATTTAAAAGACAAAAATACACAAGCATCAGAAATCAGGTGTCCACATAACAAAATATCGACACAGAAGGTAGATAAGATAATAATCTTCCACTGTTACACTTGCATACCACTGGACATTATTACAGGTGCTGCTTGAATCTTACACTTCCTCAAATTTTTCTATAATTTATAAATTTCTGAGCCAGGTAGGTTCAAAATGTATTGTAGTTCTGCAGTTTCAAACAGAAAGGATCAGTGCATTCAAACTGACAATTCAGCTCAACAGCACTTGACGCAAATCGCATCTTGGAGTGCTTAAAATTCCAACAGGATAGTTAGTGTGCCAGACCTTCAGCTCCAATAATCCAATTCTTTTGGTCTGTACAGTTTTTACTATTTACAATTTCTAGAAAAGTTTTATGAGCCATTGTGAAGTTCTATTCTGATTCAACATTTTAAAACAAATTGATATGCTAAGTAAATGGGGACAATTTAAAGGATTTACAATGCAAAATTATTAATTAAGATTTAAAACTGTCTGGACGTAAGAACAACCTGCACTTGTAAAGCTCCTTCACATTGGATAATTCCTATGTTAAACACTTTACAAATATGAATCACCGAATTGAGTAGGAAGGAGGATCTTTCGAGGATTTTAACAAAAGATGTTGTTAAAAAGATAGGTTGGTCGTAAGGTTTAGCAGGCTTAGAAATTTTGGGATAAAGTACTAGATAGCAATGGTGAACAGCTCAGAAACTGATGGAGGTGCAGAGATGTTTAGTAACCCAAATTGGAGGAACAAAGGTACAGGCAGGAGAATGAGGCTGGCGGAAATTTCAAACCTTCTCCGGCTAAAATGTATGGCTCATCCACAGAGGAAAATGGATACCACGCTGCCAATTACAAATCAGGGAGTTCAGATGATAGAATCATAGAACCACAGAATGCTACAGCACAGAAGGTGACCATTCGGGCCATCATCCTGGTGCTGGCTCTTCGGTAGAACTGTCCAATCAGTCCCACTCTCCCGTTCTTTCCCCATATCCTTGCAAATTGCAAATGATGGCAGAAACTATGAGACCAAAGCTTGAATGATTTAAGTCAGTCATCCACATTCCCATAATTGGATTACTGCTTCAATTCATCAAAACCCCACTGATTATTGCAGATGACTGCAAACTATTTTTTCTCCGACAACTGCAATACCATGTTTTGACTGCTAAATAAAATTGCTGAGGTTTCTGATATAAAATTACAGTTATTCCAATAGTTGAAAGGATAAAGGAACTGGCGAGTGCAGCCCGAGCCTTACAGACCAGAAGGTCTCAGGGTGATTTTAAGAGCTTTANTTTTTTGCCTTCTGCAGGTGATAACTCCTGCTGAGACCACTCTCTAGTAACTCATCCAAATGGCCCATTTCCATGTGCGATAAATGAGAGATGGGAACACTGTGGACTTAGCTATGATTTTTTCCCCATATCTTGTGAATGTGATTTTTTTTCCCCACATCAGCATGCTGGCTTGTAGAGAAAAGAAAACATATTTGAGTCACCAAAGTTATGTCCTGCACTTGTGAAATCATACTGTAACAAGACTTCAAAAGCATCAGAAAGTAGATCAGCCTAAATCCAACGCTCATTATAATTCCAAAAAATCAATTTAAAAAAATCTTAGCTCAAAAGACAAGCAAACAAGTATACTAACATAGCTGTGGATCCAGTTATGAGGTTTTGTGGCAATCTGCTGAAGTAGTTCGGGTGTTGCCAGGTTTCCTGAACCTCCAGATTGGATATATTATCTCTGTAAATTTTAAATAAAAAGTACAAGTTGAAATGAAGACACAGATCAGATTAATTGAACTTTACTACAGATTAGAATCACAAAAATTGCATTTATCGGATGTCAAATGACCAACTAGTGACTATTCTCCTGGGGGAGGGTTGGGGGTGGCGGGGAGAATAGTCACTAGTCAGCTGAACTGGTTCCAAGGTGACATGTTTGCCAACAAAATGCCATAATCAAGTCTACCCTCTCTGGCAGTCTTAGGAGTCCAGTTCCTGAGCCAGGTGGGTCCGCAGTATTAAAGGACACTGCTGGGGCTGCCCAATCTGGCTCTTCAGCAGGACTTGTGAGGCATAGACCAGTCACTCGGAGAAGGGATTCTTCTCGCTCAACTCAACTGCAAGCCTAAGCCCATCTTGTCCTATCTGGACAAGTGACAGGAAAGCTTGCCAGACAGTGCTTTCGATGGCAAGCTTTGCGGTTTTGGCTGGTTACACTCCAGCAGTACCCCAACGCACACTCTGGATGTCTCATGCTTTGACTCTTGCAAATCTGTGCCTAATACTCTCTGGAGTTAAGCAAGCAGGATGTGTCTCTCCAGGGAGAGAGTATGCATCCTATTGCAATACATGGGAATTTCCATGTGTAGGTGGGGTGCATAGTACTCTGTTTAGTTTTGATGCTAAACAGTGATGGGGTTCTGCAAATATTAGACACCTGGCAGACGAAAACAAATTGTATTTGTATTCCCAAACCTAATAATAAACAAGGTGGGGAGAAGCTTGATTAAGTATCACACCATTATACTAATCATATTTGGGACAATAATGTTGTGACAATGCCTACAACATATTAGACAAACAAAGCAAGGTTTTGGCATTGTATAACATCTCCTCCAGCTCATATTCGATCTAATTCAAGAGCTATTTCACAAAATATTTGGGAAGAAGTCAATAAAGCTAATAGCTCTTCTATTCTTATCTTTGCATGATAGCTACTGGAGGTAGAAAAAAAATGGAAGAAAAGAAACAGAATTTGCTAGAAAAAAAGAGAATTTTTTGTTGGTACCTCAACTTCAACTTGTGTTCACAACTCACCATAAACAGGTTCTTGGTCTTAGCCATGTTGTCAAAAGAAGCTACTGAGTGCACTTGTGACTCTCCCACACAGATAATTTGCAATAGACACTCCTCATTCATGTAATCTCTTGGTAACAATTAAAAATCTGAAAAAAGCCTGGAACAGTGTGCCAGCCTACCCTTTTTAGCTGGCAATAATATAATAATAATCCAGGCATTTGTCATTTGCGCCTTATCATTTCATCAAGACGTCTCAAAGCGCCTCACAGGATATACTGTGAAGTATTTTCTGGGCAAAATGTGGTAATACAACAACAAATTCCATTTATATAGCACCTTTCACGTTGGGAGGACATATCAAGACACTGTAATGCATAACAAGTAGAGACAACACAAAGAAAATAATAGATCTAAAAGTAGGAAACTTTCTTAAAATTGCACTGTTTGTACCGCTTCATTCTAAGTACAGGGTGACTAAAAAGTTGTGATACCATTACAATGTCTAATACGTCTTAAAGAAATTATGATATTTTAAAGAGATAATAGGGTAGATATCACAACTTTTTGGTCACCTTGTACATTTTGTCACATGCAATTCAGTATTCATGTGCACTTAAAAATACAATTCTGCTTTGTCAATTTAGTTCCAATCTTTAACATAAATATTCACGGTTTACAGCATGATGAATAATCAAAAGGATAAGTCAGTATCTTCAGTACAGTGAGAAACACAAAATGTACATGTACACCTAACAAAAATAATAAATTGCAAACTGCATTAAACTACATGGTGTATTTAGATACTATTTTTTGCACTTACTTAAGAGTGCCAGGAACAGGTAATTGTATTTGAGTAACAAGTATATTTTTGCATTGCGTTTGCATTTTTCAGTATTTTATTTGAGCAGCAGTTAAATTTAACTTAACAAAAGAGGGATTAGATGAGCAATTGTTTCTGATCTGACAGTATTTATCACGACTCCCATTAATTTTGTATTTGATTTAATCTCACCACATTCTACCCTTTTAAATCTTCAGAAGGATGACTCCTTATTAAAAGGTTTTTTGAAAATACGTAAAAGTAACAACAATACATGCCCCTGTCCAGCCGTATTTTCATTCCTCAAATATTTAGGGGGGAGAGCAGACTGGATTGTAGGTTTCAAATTCACCCGAACTCTTCTTCCATAGCTTTGCTGATTCATCTTATAAATAAAAACAGACTTACACAATGGCACACAGACCCCGTTAAGATACCAAAGGGTCTGTGAATTAGCCCCAAACCCTATCTCCCTCCGGCCTTGATCCCACAGTAGATATAGGCCTAAAGAGGGAATGTTCTGATGGACATCAGTTAAACAACAAACAAACAAAATAACATGTTGTAAAGTTAAAGTGTTAAGCATAAAAATAGTACCTCAGTAAATCAACACATAGCAAAGAGCTCCTTCATAAACTAACCCAAATATAGTTCAGAGATGTATTGGCGGCGTTTAACAAGATGTCATTGTTTTGGAGCTTTTAAAGATTAAAACTCCTTAAACCAGTTGTGGGGGGGGGGGGGGGGAGTTGTGGGGAGGTTGTGGGGGGGGGTGAGGGTGTGGGGAGGGTGTGGTGGGGGGGAGGGTGTGGGGGGGGGGGGGGGAGTGTGGGGGGGGAGGTTGTGTGTGGGGGAGGGGGGGTGTGGGGGAGGGGTGTATGGGAGGTTGTGTGTGAGGGAGGGGGTTGGGGGAGGGGTGTGGGGAGGGTGTATGGGAGGTTGTGTGTGGGGTGTGGGGGGTATGGGGGAGGGGTGTGGGGGGAGGGGTGTATGGGAGGTTGTGTGTGTGGGGGGTGTGGGGGGAGGGTGTGGGGGGGGAGGGGGGGTGTGGGGGGAGGGGTGTGGGGGGGGAGGGGGTGTGTGTGGGGGGGGGTGTGTGGGGGAGGGGGGGGGGGGGGGTGTATGGGAGGGTGTGTGTGAGGGGGGGGTGGGGGGGGGGGTGTGGGGGGAGGGGGGTATGGGGGGAGGGGGTGTGGGGGGAGGGGGTGTATGGGAGGTTGTGTGTGTGTGAGGAGGGGTGTGGGGGGAGGGGGGTGTGGGGGAGGGGGGTGTGGGGGAGGGGGTGTGGGGGGGGGGGGGGGTGTGGGGGAGGGGGTGTATGGGAGGGTGTGTGGGGGGAGGGGGTGTGTGGGGGGAGGGGGTGTGTGGGGGGAGGGGGGGTGTGGGGGGAGGGGGTGTATGGGAGGGTGTGGGGGGGGGGAGGGGGAGAAAAGAGAACAGGCGACAATCTATCTCTCTTATTAAAGGGAGGGGAGGAGGGGGGCGATGGTGGGAATTTAAAACGGGAGGAAAGGGCCAGAGATTAGCGAGAGGAGGAGGAGAGGGGGTGTTGGGCACTGTCACTCCCGGGGCCCGGGGCCCGCGGCGCCGGCGGGGACTCACCGCCACAGCCGCCGCCGCCGCCGCCGCCCGGGGGTCCTCCTCACACTGGGAGGGCGGCGGCGCGGAGCCGCCCCACAACCAACCGAACACGGCGGCTCGTGACCCAACAATGGAGGGGGGGCGGCGCTGGGCAGAGGTTCCGGGGAGCGGGAGGGGGAGAGCGGGAGGAGGGAGCGGCTCCTCACTTACTTACCACAGTCCTCTCGCTCTCTCTCTCTCTCACTCTGAAGCGGCCAAACACAGCCTCTCCCCTCCCCCCCCAGTCTCTCCCTCCTCTCTCTCTCCCCGTCCCCCCCCGCGGCCTGGCTCCGCACGTCAGCAAACGTCAACCGTCGCAACGTCCTGACGTCAGCGCGCTGCGGCCGCCGGGCCGGCGTTCTGCCCAGACGTCGGCATCCGTCTACATAGCCCGAAGTCAGCCCAACACCAGCCCAAATGTAGCCCAATGTTAGGTGTCGTACCCGGCAGGTGAACCGAGTGGCCAAGTTCGGTGACTGCTGTTGAGACGGTAAGAAAAATAAAAAGGTCTTCAAAGAGGCGGCGGGGAGACGTTTGGCACCGGCCCGAACCGTGGTGGGTTTTTTTTTACGCGCGCGCGCGCGCACACACACACACACACACGCGCGCGCATTTCAAGAGAAAACACACAAAACACGCCCAATTGGGCGTGAACCCGCCCAATCTGTCCGTATGGCCGCTGGGTGAGGAGGGTACCTCTAGCGCCCCCTCTCGGTGAGGTTCCTTCGTGCACGGTGGCCAGGGTTGGGGCTGAGCTCTCACCACGTCTTGGCCGCCGAGATCATTCCGGTCACTGTGCTTCAGAGTATCCATCCAGGCTGAGGTTTCCCCGCATCCCACCTACACATGGAAACCCCAGAGATAGGTTGTTGGAATGGGATGCACTCTCTCCCCCTGGAGGGACACATCTTGTTTACCTAATTCCGGAAAGGATTAGGCGTAAGTTGGCAAGAACCAAGGCTTGGGGACCCCCGAGTGTGTGTTGGGGCACTGCTGAGTCTAACCAGCTAAAGCAGCATAGCTTTGCCATTGATATTGTTGTCTGTTATGTCACTGAAACTCTTGTTCACTCCTTCATCACCTCCAGGCTCGACTATGCAAACCCCCTGCTTGTCAGCCTTCCCAACTCCTCCCTCCACAGGCTGTAGATAATCCAGAACTCTGCAGCCCGTGTCCTCTCCCGCACCAAACTCCATGACTCCACTGGCTCCCTATCCTTCAGAGAATCCAGTTCAAGATCCTGGTCCTCACATACAAAGCCCTCCATGGCCTCGCCCTATCCTACCTCTGCGACCTCCTAACCCCCTACCAACCCGCCTGTTCCCTCTGCTCAGTCGGCTCTGGTCTGCTCCATGTCCCCCGACCCACACCCCACCATCGGCAGGAGAGTGTTCAGCCACTCTGCCCCCAACCTCTAGAATTTCATCCCCCAATCACTCCGCCTCGCCCTCTCCTTAACCTCCTTCAAGTCCCGCCTCAAGACCCTCCTCTTCGACCATGCCATTGGCCACCCCCCCTTCACCTCCCTAACCCTCCCAACCCCAGCTCGGGTCTGAAATGCTATGCTCTGTCCAGCGCCTTGGGATGTCCTCCCGACGTGAAAGGCGCTATACAAATGTAATCGTCTTGTTGTTGTTGTTGCTTTCCTGCTGCTTGTCCAACTAGGGCCACCCTACCCTTTAGGGCTTTGGCTTACAGGGTTAACAGGAGCGGAGTGGGATGACTCCCTGCTCCCAGTGACTGGTCTGCCCTTCCAGGTCCTGCCGATGAGCCAGACTGGCTGTGATGTCATCAGCAGTTCCCTGGATTACTGTGGACCCACCTGGCTCAGGAACTGGACTACCAAGGCCACCACAGAGGGCTGGCTCGATTCCGACTTTCCGTTGCCAGACATGTCACCTTGGAGCCAGTTCAGTTTCAAGGAGATCCTGTTTAAATTCTAGGACAAAATGTTCTTATTGACTAAGACTAGGTGGGATGTCAGACCTATTAATAATAATAATAATAATCCTTACATTTGATTTAGAGCCTTATCACATCTTTGAAACGTCTCAAAGCGCTTCACAGAATATATTGTAAAGTGAATTGACTGTATATTTTGCGGGCGAAACTGTATATTTTGTGGACTTTATATATTGTGCTTACCAGACAGTGTGCTCAATGTCAAACTATGGTGTTTTTAGCTGGCACACTTTGGGGTCCCCAAGCCTTGGCTCCTGCCAACTTGTGCCTAATATTTTCTGAAATTAGGTGAGCAGGATGTGTCCCTCCAAGCAGCGAATGTGCATTTCTTTCCAACAATCTATCTCTGGAATTTCCATGTGTAGCTGGGATGCATGGAATTCTCAGTTTGGTTTGTATACTCTTAAGCAGTCGGTTCCTGCATGTGCTAGACACCCGGAAGACCAAAATAATGGTGTGTTATAAACCCTGAAATTTCACTTAATCTTAGCCTGTAAGACTAAGATTTAACAATTTTTTGCACTTATGCATGATCTTAAATTTTAAGACAAAATAGTCATATTGGCTAAGATTTCGTGGAATTTCAGGGGTGTAATGTGCTTGAAACTGACATAACAGTGTGGAGATCTATCAAAGATATTTTCAGTGATGGCCACTGTTACGAAATAAAAATCTTCATCGAAGTGCAGTCTTTCTGTGTCACACTATTAAAATAGTACATTTGTTTTCTTCATTTGTACTGTCTTGAGTTTTTTATATGGGGGTATTTAGTTGTTACATCCCCAAGAAATAAAAAAATCCTGATTTTATTTTAGTCAGCGAGATACGTGTGATACATATGGAAAAACATCTCCCTGCTTAAGAATATCCAAACCAAACTAATGAAAGTTCCTCATATGCAAGGACATTTCTGTTCGTTTAATAATAATAATAATCCTTGCATTTGATATAGCACTTTTCACGTCTTCTAGACATCTCAAAGCGCTTCACAGAAAATGGGCAAGTTTCCTAACTCCACATGCCTGATAATAATCCCTCAAGGAAAAATAAATAAATAATTTGGTCACGCAATCCACAACTGTTTGTGGGACACTGCTGTGTGCAATTAGCTGCTGTGTTTCGTCCACAAAAATATACAGTCAATTCACTTTACAGTATATTCTGTAAAGCGATCTGAAATGTCTAGAATATGTGAAAAGTGCTATATCAAATGCAAGGATTATTATTATTGCTCTCTTTTGCTGGTCACCCAAGTATCCTTCCAAACCTTAATCTTGCTGTTGTCTTGTCTCGTTCCATTATACATATTTTGAAAATACTAATAACATCTTTAGAAAGAAATTGTGGAACGATGAGTGATCAGTGGATAAACCCAAAGACTAGTAATGGGATCCCGTATCAACTATTCAGAGTATTTTTAAGAATAAAGCTTGTTTTTAAAACTTGTTTTGTCTTGCAGTGCAGATGATAAATCTTGGTGCAAGACTGAAACATTTTGTGAAGGATTTCTTTCTGACTATTGTTATAACCATTTCATTTCATTCTGAAAACACTCCACAATTCATCATAGGAAATAGGAATTTATTGAATGCATTCATTGTAAAGCCTGACACCATTTTTAATTTCACAAAATATAAAATTTTCCTGTACTGTAGATGTGATATTTTTATCTACCACAATATGATATCAATGGTCAAAAGTCACCTACTTTGTATTGCCAACTCACTAATTTGTAACAACAAAAACATGTCAGATAGTCACATATGACCCTATATTCCCTGGGGCTCATCAGCTTGTTTTTCAGATGCAGTGATATGGAAAAGAAGATTCATGCTTTACTGGATATAATGAGCACAGATTTACGGCTAATAGAGGAAACACTGCTGTTTGGGGACAATTGTATTTTGCGAACAAAATATACAATCACTAGTTTTTACAGCAGATCCTGCAAAGTGCTGTGAGACATGCTCTCAATAAGAAATGTGCTATATTAAATGCAAGGATGATGATTAATAATAACAATAAATAAGGAAAAGCAAAGAATTAAAATAGGAAAATAAAGGTGCTGAAAGTATGTATTTTTTTGATGGTGGGCTGCTCACTGGTATTTGGAGATAGGATCTTCTGGCCCGGTGTCAGGCTAGCTC